GTGTGGCACTCGATGCCGGCAGAGACGGGGCTATGCTACTGGGTCGGGGTCGGATCTGTAAGGGTCCCACATACGTAACACATCATGAGGGGCCTAAATATGGAGCGCCCTTCTTTTTGCCGCGCAAGCTATTGAGATTGAGGCACGCGGGCCGGCAGAGTGCGAGTGAAGAGCACATGGGAGAGGAGGGAGCGCCGCGCGGGCGATTGGGCAAGCATACCCTCCAATCAGGTGGCTAAGGGACGATGACGATAGCTGAGATCCGGTGAACACGTGAGCCCGAGGGACGCTGAGAGGCAACGACGAGAAAAGCGGAGAGAGGAGAGAGGAGAGATAAAGAGAAAGAGAAAGAGAAAGAGAAAGAAAGAAAGAGAGAGAGAGAGAGAGAGAGAGAGAGAGAGAGAGAGAGAGGACTATGCCTGCCGGGAGCGCTTGTGGCTGCTCTGGACGCGGTGATATGGCTGCCATTTCTGGACACCTGCTTCCATACCTTGCAGTCCTTGCGCTGCCGCAGCAAGACCAACGGGGCAGAGAGAAGCTTCCAGAGTTCGTGTCCGGCAAGTTCCAGTGCCCCACTGCCTCCAGCAGCAGGAGAGAGGGGGCGATGATGAGGGGAGGGCTTGCGGCCGCCTGCAGCTTGCAGTCCTTGCGCTGCGCTGCAGCAAGACGAGCAGCGGGGCAGCGAGAAGCTTCCAGAGCTCCTCGCCGGCAACTTCCAGTGCCCCGCTGCCTCCAGCAGGAGACCTCCCGCACGGCAGAGAGAGGGGCAATGAGGGGACGGCTTGCGGCCGCCTGCGCCTCGCAGTCCTTGCGCTGCTGCAGCGAAGACCAGCGGGCCAGCGAGAAGCTTCCAGAGCTCCTCTCCGGCAACTTCCAGTGCCCCACTGCCTCCGGCAGGAGACCTCCCGCAAGCCGGTCAAAGCTTAAGAGCAAGGCCGCCACCGCCGTTTAAAACCGTGTCTATATATATAGTATTTCGGCTCCGCGCAGCAGTCCGCCATCAAGGACGGCCGCGGCGCCGCCGCTGCGGCGCGGGTCATGAGGTGGCTCAGAGAAAGAGAGAGAGAAAGCAGGGCGAAGGTCAGAAGAGAGGGAGAGAGAGAGAGAGAGAGAGAGAGAGAGAGAGGTTGGCGCGCGCGAACCTTCTCGCGAGACGGGTGATGAGCTGCGCGGCACACGACGGGCCCCGCCCCGCCTAATGCGCGGCGTAATGAGGTGACTCAGTGACCTCACGCCGCACCGCACGCACCTGCCGTACTCATAAGCAGCGGCTGTCGAAGCTGCGGTAATTGGGTGGAATAAAAAAACACTAGACGACACACATACGACGGACGTTTTCAGATGAGGCTTAATTTTTTTCCCCCTAATATGTGCGCATTTCACCAAATACGGTTTAGAGACCACTGACAGGCGTTAGAGACTACTTTTGATAATCTATAGCAAACGTTGAAGAAAACGCTAAGATTGGTTTGTCTTAGTATTTATTCATTTATTGAATGGGAAGTATACTTTGATATACCTTTTTATGATTGTAAAAATAACAAAAATGCAAAATTTGTTTTAAAAATTGAGAGAGGAGCCTGCCGACAATGAGGTAGGTTGGTACGGGGGGAAGGGGGGTGGGGTGGTACTGACTGAGTATGAACAAGACCGCTTGTATTTGTGTTGGCTACGACGGTTCCCTGCTCCTTTTTTGCTCCTCTGCATCACACTATTTTCGTCCCGGCGGGCGGTGCGAGCCCCGACACGAAAAGCGAGAGAGGCGCACGTCCTGGCCTAGTTGTCACAAACTAGACGACTCGTTCACACGGCCATTCACTTGCTCGCCCGGGTAGAGCAGAGTAGAAGATAGAGAGACGTCATGAAAACGATCCCTCGCCGACAAGGCTATCAGGAAACATTGCGATGTGACGTCACTTCGTGGATCCTCATTCATCCCGTGAGCTCATAAAGCCACGCCTCCCTACTCGACTGACACTGAGGCAGCCGGCACGACGTCCCAGATACCGTGACGTCACAAAGCTCTCCCCCATTAAAAGGGATCCCCCCGCCCGCCCCACCCTCCTCCACGCCTCTTTCTCTAGAGGTCGTGACCCTGCTGCTGCTCGGACACCAGCGGCAATGGCTGGAGCACGGCCGGGCCGCCCCGGGGTATGGTGACGGTTTGGCCGATAACATTATCCAGGTGAGGGAGGGGGCGGGCCGCGCCGAAAACATATTAGTACCGAGAGACAGAGAGAACGAGACAGAGAGAGCGAGAGAGACAGAGACTTCAACGCTGGGCTAATTGAAAACACGGTCAAATGTCAGAGGCGGCTCGAACAACAAGTAGCACAATAAAAGTCCGGCGCAAACGTTGGCGCCGCGGGGACCACACACACCACACCACACGGGCAGCGCGGCAGCATTATGGCGGCATAAATCAGAGGCTCAGGAGCAACGAGGGCACCGCGGAAAATTTGAGGTGGGAACTCCGCGCGTCGGCGGCGGGCGGGTCGGTCGGTCAACGATGAGCAGCAGAGGCGGATGAGAAGGAATATAACATAATCACGGGAGGATGCGAGCCTCGGCCGCCGCCGGCCGGGTAGTTGAGTGGGCTAATATTAGAGTGAAACGCAGCGGGACATTTGCGGGCTGTGCCGCCGAGCTCCGGTAACTTTCCACCCTCCTCTAGCACGACGACTGACCACTGCGTGGAGGAGTGTATAAGTAGGAGTATCTCTGCCGAGCGCGGAACGACGCACGACGTATGTTCCCCAAATAAATGCCTTTCGGCCAACTTGGCATGCCGCGCGGTAGCGTTCGGTGGGGCGGGGAAGGTTATGGGGGGGCGCTCATCAAAACAAAGAGGCAGAGACACGACGCTAAAGAGCACGGAAAGTAAACGTATTTAAAGTCGCGCTTCCACCATTTCACTCGCGACGGGTACAGAGGTCACGGTGCTGTACTGCTGCGTATGACTCACCGCACGACTAGATACACCTCGTCGACATCAACGAAGATGCATACAAAGTTTATTTATATGCATTGGCGTTTCAAATACGGTCATTTTTTTACCTCTTTTGATAAGCTGCACGGTAAAAAAAGTTTCTTGTATTTTAGGACCCGGTCTTGGATCTTATGGAGAACGCCTATGGCATCCAAGACCAGGTCTTGAAATACAAGAAACTATTTTTACCGTCTGGCAAAACAAAAGTCCAACCTTTAAGAGGGTGTTAAGGATCTTTTTGTGCCTTTACATACAGTCTCAAATCGAAAAAATCTTGATCGTCATCCCTGGAAATGTGCGACGGAGCACCTTTTTTTGTTTTTCTAGTGTAGGCGTTAATGCTACCAGTATATGACGTACAAAACGTCAAGTAACCTGCACCCGTCAACAAGGAGCAGTTCCGATACAAATAAATCATGCATTAATTATTTCCTCTATCTTGTATGTTTTGTCTCTCTCTCTCTCTCTCTCCCCCTCCCCTCTCGGCCCCAGGAGAACAAAACTGATTGCTTCTTCTGTATCCGACTAAAAATAAAATATAAAGAGAAGCAAGAAAACGTTTCCCTCTCCAGGAAGCGAGAAATGCAAAACGAGTTTGTGGGGTGTGCCTTGCTGCGCGGCGGTTCAGTTACCCTCCGCGACACGGCACGCCACGCCAGTCGGAAGCGGCTGCCGGGCACCCCGATCATCTGCCCGTCTCTCTCTGCCCCTCCGGTTGTGGTCGCCCCGGCGACGCACGCACGCACGCACACGCACTCACACACACACACACACACACACACACACACACACACACAGACACACACACATTCCGATAGTCTGACGATCCCGGCAGAACTCCACAATAGTGGCGCGCGGTGCAGAGTAGCCAATCAGAGACAGGGAAGTGCCAGGCGGGGCGGCGGCGCGCCGCTGCACGAGGCCGCAAGATAGCAAAACGAGAAAGGTGCAGAAAATAACAGTGGTCACCCGCGTGCTTGTCCCTATCGGTGGTCATGAGGGTTGCACTTACATCTAGGCCGGCGACCGCTCTTGTCGCCGTACTCGTCGGCCGGGGTGTAGAAGCGGTCGATGACACCCTGCACGGTGGTGGGGCCGTAGTTGGAGACGGTGACGCGGGGCGCACGGGGCGCGCGCGGCTGCCGGGGCTCCTTCGGGCCCGAGGGGTCCGAGGTCGGGACGCGCATGTGCTGCTGGGAGATCCAGCCCCAGAAGCTGGGGAACTGCGGCAGGTCCTTCATGGCGGCGGCTGTGAGTTCACTCGGCTGTCACTGGTATGCACTCGCACCCACCCACACACACACACTCAACACTGCCACTGTAGAGGGCCGCGATCCGGATCCGCGGCAAAGTGCACCACGGCGGTCTAAGGTCTCGGTCAAGTCCGCGGGACGAAGGCAAGTGGCGCTGCTTGGAGCCGGCGTGCGGTCTACCAGATGGAGCCAGGGATCTGTCTGTCTCGTTGTCGCCTCGGATATAGCCGCTCGGCTCCGGATCGGATCTGCACCGCTCGCACGACTGACCGCCGCGCCGTCAGAAAAGAGAATAACTGCGAGGCGGCGTGGACTATGATGGGGTGCCCGGGCCGGCCTACCTCTGGCCGACCCCCTCCAGCGCGCCACGCCGCGCCACGCCCCACCTGCAGACTCCACCCGCCGCGCGAGCGGTCCCCCCCGCCGCCGGACAGCGCCAGAGAGGGAAGGGGAGGGGGGAGTGCCTTTGGATTGGACCGGCCAGATCTGCCCGCTCGAGAGCAGATTCTGCGAAAGGTTCGGTGGGTATCCCTTGCTGCTACGAGATGAGGCGCAACGCATCGGCGATCTCCCGGTTGACGCACAGGGCCTCTCGCTTTAATTGCCCTCGGACGGACACCGACGTCCCGCACCCGGTCCACACCACCCCTTTCCCCTAGCCGCATTGACGTAGCGTCTCCAGGGAAGCCAAACGAGCGCTTGGCGTCCGAAAATTCAGAAAAATTATGCCCAGCCTAAAGCAAAGTTGGGAGGAAGGCGAAAGACATCATTTTTAGTCGTTTTCTCCGGTCTATAAGCAAACTGTATTTCAGATCGGTATCGCCAAATTAGTCTCCCCCGGGGGAAAAGGTCTGTGAGTGGTGGTGATGGTGGTGGTTGGTGGTGATGGAGGAAGCAGACGTCAAACATTTTCGCCCGCTATACGTCAATAAAAAAAATATCCATGTCTTGCCGTTGTCTTTCTGCGGCGTCGGCGATTATGACCGCAGCAGGACGCTCCGAGCGGCGCGGTGACACTACTGCACACCTCTCTGAAATAAGTCGTTGCGCGACGAAACAAGTCAACAGGACACAAGTATGTAGTAGCGAAACTTTTCCACTGCGGAAGACGCCACCGCGCGGGTTTGCAAGGAATAGGGAGACGCACGACCAATTTGCGATTTTCGATCACGCGAAGCGGGCGGGCCGGGCGTCTGGAAGTTCCAGTTAGTGTGCGGAGACACGCCTATCGCAAGAAAACACCGGCCGAATGACACCCATGGAGCTCACAGCCGCTGAACGGAAGAGGCGAGGGGGGAGGGGTCGTTTATGAATGGAGAGTCCCGCGGCCGAGCTGACCGCGAGGCTGACCGCGGCCCGCTCACTTTAGTCACTGCGCACTGCCGGCGGATCGATGCGTCAAACATGTACGCGATTTGACGCGTTCCGTTGGTAATTGCGTTGTTTACCCCGCGATACGCTCGAGCCGCGCAGCCACCGGCTGCTCTGGGGCTGCTGGGCGCCACCATCTGACGTATGTATATCCACGCGGCGTTTTCACTACTACAGCCCCATCACATTTGACATGCGCGCGTGCGAGCGGGGGCGCGCCCGCGATTCTTATTCTCAACTAGAATAACAAAACGTTGCGCGCCGCATACTCCGGGCGCGCGGGGTTGTCTTCCATTTACACGCGCCTCGAATCGCGGGCAGAATAAAATTCAGAGGGAAAAACAATGTCGCGGATGATTACGCGGGGAGCGGGTCACTACGCAAGTAGAAGATTTTGTTTTTCTAGTTATACTCGGCTCAGGAGGACCACCGCAAACGCAAACAAGGCAGAATAATGCGCTACTGCTCTATACACGCAGTGAGGACCTCTTGGGCGTCTCTGTCCCGCATCGTGACTCTAGTCTCTCTCCTTTCGCGAACGTCGTCGTCGGTCAGCAAAAGAACGCCGACGAGACAGAGAAAGAAAGTGAGACCATCACTAAGCTAGTCGCGCGACGGGAACGTTCTTTCGAAGTACGCATGTGTGTGTGTGCGTGAGTGTGTGTGTGCGCCTTGAGGCGGTGTGAGTGTGTGCCCAAACTCACCTCTGGACCCATTCGGTCCTGCGCCAGGCACCGCGGCACCGCTCTTACCGGCCAGGCACCGCTCTTACCGGCCACGCCGCACCTCGCTTGCGGTCGAGCAACAAACATTATTAGACAATTCGCGAATGTTCCGCGTAATGACACTCGGGCTCATCGTTGGGAATCCCTTCATAGTGTTTGCAGCTTGAAATGGGGCAGGTGTTGTGAGAGGAGAGGATGTAAGTCGTGTGAGTAGAGAAATCCTAGAGGAGTCGGTGAAAGATTGTCCAACATGTTTGTCAGTCTTTCTACACAGTTA